AAAACACGTCTTAAACAATTTATATGCTTATTAAAATCCACTTCCCGATAAGCTTTTACAGCCTTCCAGTATGTCCATTTGTGATTTTTTATACCAATAAACCTTGATTTTAGATTTCTATACAAATGAACACCACAAAGTCCATGAAAAGCATATGGGAAACGCCTTCTAACAGCGTTGTCAATTGAGTTTTCCCTATCGGATATGATTGTCAGATTGCTAATAGGACCTATGCAATCCCTAAGATGCCCTATAAACCATGTCCATGAATCAGAGGTTTCAGATTTGCCAACCCCGTAAGCTATTGACAGTATCCCATTGTTAGCATCCATGGCTACTGCTAATAAGTTTACTCCAAGATATCGACCTTTCAAATGTGCTCCGTCAATTATAATAAATGGACGCATGCAAGTAATAAACGAACAAATCTACAAAATAATATACACCAAGAAATATAATCATTTAAATGTGAAATGCATGTAACTAACAAAAATGAGTCAACAAAATTATATTGATTTACTAACTGCAGCACCAATGGCGATAAATAGCAACTCAAAGCGTCCATCTCTATCTGTTTTGATATGAGTTACCGACCCACGATTTTTCAGCTTTAAATTATGACAATAAGCCGACAGTTGGGCAAACGATGCTTCTGGCGACCCCTCAACAATTCCAAGGCATAACATTTGGCTCTCCAAGCTTGAGAATATGAGATACTAATCTTGAACTAAGCATTCATGTCAGTCATAATTTCATGTCCCCGATATACCCTGCCATTCAAAAACATTAACTCAGCCAGAAAACCACCCAACACCTTTTTGTTTACCTGTCTATGGTGAGGAAAAACTTGGGTTCTTGAACATGTATGTTTATCAATAAAAGTCCTAATTTGAAACATTTCACAATCTTTTATCCTCTTTGTAATCATATGCCACATACAATTTTTGTCAATCATACACTTTGTTTCGAAACGATCTTTGCTTGATTTGTTAACTTTTAGTTGATAGCCATCTTCCACACATTTCGTATACAAAGCTATCTTCAAGTATTCCTTTGTATCAAAACAATCATCTTTCTTGATACAAATAACTTTTGTATAACAATCAACTGCTATATTTACCAACTCTTTTTCCTGTATCTGAAGTAATTCTGGCATATTCTAGTTATACTCCCGTGGCATTTTCTTCTTTTTCTTTTCTTCGGGGGCTTCTTCTTCTTCTTTTTCTTCTTCAGGGTTATATGAATTACATAATAGATGTTCAACATGTTCATTTACAGTCGTAACTTCTTCCTTATTATCATCAACAACATCTTCCTCGGCAGCGGCTGTTTTATCATCAAAATTCGGGTATTGACCAATATCAAAATCATTACACACATGGTCTGTTTCTTCTTCTGAAACATCATCAAAATCCGAGTATTGACCAAGATCAAAGTCCGGGTATTGACCAAGATCAAATTTCGAATACTGACTAGTACTCACAATTTTTTCTATTGGCTCATCATCGTCTAACTGGTCAATACGAAAACCGGAATTTGGTGCTGAAAGTTGATTGGGATTTGGATTAGGGAAAGGTTGTGGGTTTTGAGATTGTGTTTGGTATGGAAATGTGGTGAAACAAAATTTTCTTGGTGATGAAATTGTGGTGGAACCATTAAATTTTGAGGTTGATAACAATGTTGTACATTGTGAGCACCATAAACTGGGGTTGAAGAACTTAGTTGATTACTACCCGCTACTGACCCAACTTCACTACTTCTAGGTTCAACAGTATACAATGTAACATCATCTTCTTGCGAAACACTAATGTAAACAATGAATTGTTCAACATCTTCATTGTCGGTTAACAAATAAACTTTACATTTTCTCTGATAAGATAGCCTAAATCCACTTAGGGGGTTCTAAATTCAATTTCTTTGCAACACGTAACATTAGAGTTTCATAAGTTAACTTTTTTAATGACAATTTTAGTTGAAGATTCATGGGTAAAGGCATATATTGTAAAACACCATGAACATTCTCCCATGACCCTCCAAAACACAAATCTATCCAAACATGATCAACATTAGATGATTTCATTCTACAAATTGTAAATTAATTTACTAAACAAACGAGCTATAAACTAGATATCATCACTAACTTGGAGAAAAACATACCGTTATTAAGTTGATAGTTGATAATTTGGGAGAGAAATCATTGAAAAATTATATAGAAATAAAATTATGTAAAAAAAATTAGAGATGGGGAAGGATGTCGTTGGATATAGGAACGGATGTCGCCGGAGAGAGTGATAGATGGAGATGGAATGAGTTGCGATTTAGGGATTTAGGTTATGAGTTGCTGTTGGTGCGTAGTTTATATACCCAAAACATTTATGTTGCGAAAATAAAATCTGTTGCGAAATTAAAATTCGTGTTGCGAATTCGAAAATCGAGTTGCGAAAACAAAATTCGTGTTACGAATTTGAAATTCCTTGTTGCAAATTTGGAAACCGCGTTGCGAAATTAGAGTTCGCGTTGCGAATTTGTTGGTCATTTTTGCAAATCCAAAAAAAGTTGATTAAAATCTTATATTATAAGGCATTTTCGATCACTGAAGTTATTTTCTCTAACCAATAACCCTAATTTGTAAAACATTTTATTTATCAATAGAAATAACTTGTATACCATGTGAAATAATTTAATATTATAATTAAAATCAAATTAAAAATTAAAATATATGTAAGTTCGAACTAAAACAAATCCAGATACAATTGACACGTAAGAAGAAAAAAAAGAACTATACATAATTTACACACGGCATACGAAAACGTTAAGACCTCGAAATTTATAACATCTTAGCCTTGTTAATTCAGTCAATGCCAAAAAAAAATTTGAATTAAAGGGTCAGTAAGCAGTAGTAATAAATGTTGTCTTCTTTTTTTAATCACCTACATTAAATTTATTACTTGTCTATTTTATATTAAATTCTACAAAGACACTTTGGGTCGAAATTTAAACTCTTAATTTGTTTAAAAATTTAATGTTTTATCTCACTAAATCGATTTGATTGTTTGATTATATTTTTTTATTTTTAATAAGTTAATTGATGTTTTTATCAAATCTAAGTATGATTTCTTCGTTGAAAGCTTGAGGAGTGTGACTTTCTACTATCTAAACAATAATTTGGCACACTAATGAGTGTTGATACAAGTAGTTGAGATTCAGGAATTTAAGTTTGTAAGGTCAAGTTCGAATCCCACCACTGTCACTCTTGGTGGACAATCTGTAAAGTCCTATGTAAATCTCAATTGAGTTTTATGTATGCCTTGGCCCTGGATTGAAAGAGTCACCCCTAACCTAAACTTTTAGGATACAAAAAAAAAAAAACAATAATTTGGTACTTATATGTAAAGATAGATCGAGGGGTGGATAAAGTTAAATTATCAATTAAAAATTTAAAATTATTATATATTTTATATTTTTCCTATGTATTTACTATTAAAAATATGTTTTACCCTTGAAAATTTTATAAATCTATCAATTTATAAAATTTTAAAAATTTATCCCCTAACATTAACATAAAATTCTGTGTCTATCGTTACTTATATGTACAATGCATACCAAATTAATTATTATTTTTATAATTAAAGCATAAAACTAATAAGAATTAAATATTGAATTCATTTAAAAGTAAAATCCAAAGTGAATTTAAAAAATTATCCCAATTTACCGACGGGTTGGTTCAAGTGGTAAACAACTTGATATCGCTTAAGCAAGGTCTCAGATTCGAGTTTTTGTGTATGCAGAAAATCCTCACTAGAAGACTCACCCACTAAAACCTTAGAACTGGAGGGTAACCAAAAAGAAAATTATCCCAATTTATTTAATATTCATATTTACAAAACATGGAATGGATTACGAGTGTAAACGAGCCGATTTGAGCTCAAATATTGTTGAACTGAAAATCTTGAACTCTAAATCCTGAACTGAAGCTCGTGAACAGCTCGAAAAGGCTCGAAATGAAGAAAATTCTTAAACTTAACTCGATTAAAGCCTCAAACTCGAACTCGAACCTGAACTCAAATACATGAAAATCTTACTGTATTTTAAAAAAAAATCAATACATAAATATTAATATTATTAATAATTTATTTAAAAAAATAAAATCTTAATATATTATATTTTTGAGCTGCTCACGAACTTTTCAAGTCGAATATTAAGTAGCTCGTTAAGAACTCAAGTTGAGTCCATTCAATCCGTGTATTTATTGAGTCTGAATCGAGTCGATCTCGAGTAACTCGAGTAACTCGAGAATGGATTAAGTTACTATCCGTGATACATTTAATCTTTTTTTATGTGATAAAATCTAGTTTAAAGTGAAGTGGAATTGTTTACGGATGAAAGGGTTGAATCATACCCTCCAAACCCATTTTTATGAGATATTAAGATATTCTAACTTCTTGAAAATGAAATTTAAGAATTAATTCATTGAAAACAAAAATGACAATTTTGCAAGTAAACATCAAAGCAAACTTAGATTTTTGCAGCACTTGGACCTTTTTTTTTCCTTTTTAATTTTGTTTATCAACTACTCAGTTGCAGGCTTCTCTTTTAACTTTTTTGTTTACATATATGCTTTTTGCTTTTAAATTTCTATACTTATTTTTTATGAGGCATATATATAAGTAGGGTTTGTGAAAGGATAAAAAAATTATTTTGAACTTCAATATTTAATTTAATTTTGATTATTTTTATAAATTTAAATATTTAATTCAATTAGATTTAATAAATTATTTAATATTCAATAATAATTATAAAAAATTCAGTAAACATTTTCAATAGTAAAAATTTTCTCTCTAAAAATTTTATATTCAAAGAACTGTATTTATAAATGTGTATACCATATTTTCTTATAATCACCCTATATAAATAAAAAATATTTTTTTTTAAATCAATAGAACAAAGCAATGAAAAGTCAAAATGAAATCATCCCTAAAAACAGGGGCCAGCCCACTTCCATGAGTTCACCTCAGGTTTGCTTTTCCTTCACTATTTTTCTTCCTCTATCTGGTTTCCTCCATTGCAAACTAAGCTTCCTTTCCAGCTTTCTTTGAGGTCCTCCTCTTCTCCTCAAACACCCAAAGACCCACCAACCATTTTACCCACTCAACTCCACTCCACTCCACCCCATCCCTTTTCTTTTCCTTTCCCCCCCCCCCCCATTATATATTTAGTCTTTTCTTCCCTCTATATATGTGTAATATATATGCATTTTTTGTTGAAAGATAATATTTTTGTCTGGCCTTTCTTACCCATTTTCTTTTTTATCATTACCTGAATTCTTTTTCCTTCTTTTTTTTTTGCCCACTTGGATGGCAACAAAAAAGAGAGAGGCCCTCTACCTGTGAACTACTCTTTCCCTTTGCAATTGCAGCTTTACCCTTTTTCAGGGCTCAGACATTTGGGGGCTTTTGTTTCTACGTTTCCTTACACTCATCTTTTGTTCACTTGAATGCTAAAGTATATGGGTTTTGTTTCCTCTTTGCTTCTTTGAATGCTCAAGGAAGTAGATCAAGGTAAATGTTTTCTCTCTTTTTTTGTATTACTTTATATGTATCTTGCTTGGATCATAAGTGATTCTTTTGTTTTTGTTTTTTTACAAGTTTATTCATTTTCAATGGAAATGAATTGTTTTTCTTGGGTGTATTAATTTATGGAATATTGGTTTATTGTAAATGTTTTTAGTGGTCTGACTTGTTTACAGAATGATTTTTTTTGGTTGCTAAATGCATAAAAAGTTGTTTTAGTTTTAGTTTGAAATTAACTCATGAACTTAATTAAATGTGGTATCAGATTCTCCTGTTATTTTTCTTTCTCCTTTTGTTTTCATCATTTTCTGTTCTTTTCTGTCGGTGAAGATTAAGCCAAGTATCTTATGAGATTTATTGACTTTTTTGGGCCTTCAGATTTGAATGTAAGGATGAGTTTTATGAGAATGAATGGAACTTCTATCACATCTAGCCTTTTCTTCATAAACTTTCCCCAAAAATGTGCCTATGGACCTTGAAAATGATTAAACATATTACCATTTTGGTATTTCTGGTGTTATATGACATGTTTCTGGTATGCAGGTAGTGATGTCTAAGTTTTTGATCTTGTATGCAAGAGGCTAAAATATATATTTTGATTGTTTAAATCCAGAAGATCAGAGATGTCATCTCAGGGTGCCTTAAATTCTGAATTATCAAAGAAGACATCATTTTTGGGTCTAAAACTTTGGGTTTTGATTGGTGTATCTGTTGGGGCATTTATAGTGTTGATTCTTGGTATCTTGTCTGTATGGGTTACATTTCGGAGAAGATCCCGACGATTGGTAGACAAGTTCTCGCTTTCTCAGATACCAATTGTCTCAAAGGAAATCAAGGTTGACAAGGTTGGAGTTCAGAGCTTCAGTGATCATCCGGAGAGTTTGTTCCTTTCAGTTAATGATAAATCAAATGATAAGAATTCAGAGAAAATGCTAGCTCATTTGGGGATGAGCAAATCAAGTGATCCTGATAATACAAGTCAATGCAGCTCGCTTTACCATCACGAGAGAGGTTTTAGTTCTCATTCAGGAGATGAAGGGAGCTCCGGAACAGTTCGAAAACAGTCCGCATTTTCGTTTGGAGGAGTAGTGACGGCCTCTCCCTTAGTTGGTCTGCCTGAAGTTTCACATCTCGGGTGGGGTCACTGGTTTACTCTTAGGGATCTTGATCTTTCCACAAATCATTTTGCGGCGGAGAATGTGATTGGAGAGGGTGGATATGGGGTGGTTTACAAAGGTAGACTCATCAATGGAACTGAAGTAGCAGTTAAGAAGATTCTTAATAATCTGTAAGGATATCTTTGAGACTCTTTCTTGTTTCTTTTAAAACTTTGTTGGTAAAAAGGATACCTTGTGATAAATTGGACATTTGGATATCCAGGGGGCAGGCTGAAAAAGAATTTAGGGTTGAAGTGGAGGCCATTGGTCATGTTCGGCATAAGAACCTTGTGCGGCTTTTGGGTTATTGCATTGAAGGAGTTCACAGGTGAAAATCAAATATGTTTGGTTTATTTTTCAATTTCATGCAGATTCACTTTTAAGTGTAATTGTGTATTAACGTGTTAATACAGGTACACTTATGTGATCCTATATGTGTTTATAGTTATTTGAGTATGACTGGCGGCAAATGAGATTATAACTGTAGTTATTGGTTGGTTGTCATAGGATGCTGGTATACGAATATGTGAATAATGGTAACTTGGAACAATGGCTACACGGGGCAATGTGCCAGCATGGTACCCTTACTTGGGAGGCTCGTATGAAGGTTATTCTCGGTACTGCCAAGGCGTAAGTCACTATTCAGACTTGAAGCTTCTTGTTCTTCTTTTGTTGGTTAAAAGTTGAAGCGCGATAAAAAGCTGGTGTTTTTGGTTGCAGGCTTGCTTATTTGCATGAAGCAATAGAACCAAAAGTTGTTCACCGGGACATAAAATCAAGTAACATCTTGATTGACGATGATTTCAATGCCAAGGTTTCTGATTTTGGATTGGCCAAGCTCTTGGATTCAGGAGAGAGTCATATCACAACTAGAGTTATGGGGACATTCGGGTAACTCTTAAGTTCTTGTTCTCTCCAGAAATCATCTAATATTGTATCTCAATTCTATGTATCTCCAGATTGAAAATTCCATATGTAAATTGCAGTTATGTGGCACCAGAATATGCTAACACCGGCCTATTGAATGAGAAGAGTGATATTTACAGCTTTGGTGTCCTCCTGCTTGAAGCTGTCACTGGAAGAGACCCTGTTGACTACGGAAGACCGGCTAATGAGGTACTGATTAATAAAGATGACTAATAACTTGTCCGTGAAGTTCTCCTCTCTTGCTCCTCACTGTGTTGACCTTTTCTCTCTGTTCATATAACTTCACTTAATTTCTCGCTAATTTCTCATAAGCAGACCGTATGCCTACTGCAGGTTAACCTTGTGGAGTGGCTTAAGATGATGGTTGGAACAAGAAAAGCTGAGGAAGTTGTGGATCCAAGTCTTGAAACCAGACCCGCCACACGCGCTCTTAAATGTGCTCTTTTGGTGGCACTTAGGTGCGTTGATCCTGATGCAAATAAGCGACCCAAAATGAGTCGGGTTGTACGAATGCTTGAAGTCGATGAATACCCGTTTCGTGAGGTAAAGGTCTCTGTTGCCCGATTGTTAATGTTATTTTTGTGTACATGCTGCATGGTTTGTTTTTCGCATAAGTTTGCAAAATTTAGCATATCTGGTAGTATGCCATATGCCCTGTATCTTTGGCGCGATATTTTTTTCTTTGCATCTCCTGTGCTTCCTCCCCTATAGATAGATTCAGCGAGAAAAAGAAAGAACAGCAGAGAACCCTACTAGGCAGAAAACCTGTCTTTCTCGAGTACGAGTTGTGTGAATGTCTCCATGCCGATTATTTTATTTCAATGATGATGATATAATACCTTAGCACAAATTATGAAATCTTTTAAGTATTTTTGATGTTATTATGACTTGTATTTTCTAGTTTCTGAATCTCATGAAACTCTTATTCTTGCTTGCACTACTACTTGGACTTGTGCTTATTTTTCTATCACAAGCTGCATTGACAAAATTGGCTCGTCTGATCTTAATCAGGACCGGAGGAACAGAAAGAGCCGAACGGCTAGCATGGAAATCGAAGCTTTGAAGGAAGAACCAACCGACGCGGAGAGCAATGCCACGGAGTCACAGGGCACCATAACCGAGATGAGTCATGAGAAATAGGGACTGACAAAAAGGCAAATGACATGATGAATATTTTGTCTAGTATTTAAAGCTTTACATTGATACATACACATCTCAAAGGTTGGTTTGTTTTTGGTGCGCTCAAAGAGAGGAATCAAACTTAAAGATAGAAATAACGCACATTGGGGTTTTGAATCAGGCAGATGAAAGGCTAACATCTGAGAGAGAAAGAGAGATTAAATGGTCCTTGTTGTACAGGTGTGCTTTTGGGATTGGTGGACTGTCTTTTATTATTGTATTATATATATATATATATTTCTTTTTCCCCTTCTAGGGATTTAATCAATGTTGTTTGCATGTTGATGATCGTTTTCATCTGCACTCTTTGTTTTATCTATGTAATGATTGCATGAACCCAGGTGTGGCCATTGCTTGTTTGTGTTTTTTCTTTATCTAAAATTTGGACGGTCAAACTTCAATCTTTTTAATTTTTTCAGTCTTTGGTTCATCATTCCATGATGTGTCGTCTCCTCAGACCTCACAATAATCAGTTTCTTCGTTTCAGATTTCATCAAGCTTTTTCTTCAAACCCGTGCTTCCCAAATCCCAATACACACATGCATAAACAGTATTGTTATTACTAGGCATAATATTAAAATACCCTAAAATAAAAGTTGGAGGTTAAAATACTTAGAAAAAAAGAAGTATTTAGTCCCATGGTAATGGTTTTTTAATTTAAAGTCAAATATTAGAGTTCCAAAAAAAAAGAAATTATAATGGTCATTTTAATAAATGCTGGGATTAATTTTAATTTTAACCTTAGTATTAACTGGCAAAAGCGATGTGTAACATAGAAGCATGTGTTAAGAATAGAAAAACAAAGCTTTGAGAAGCATAAATGGAATGTTTCTGATCATGTATAATAATAACAGCGTTTATTTGGTTTCTGGTAAAGCATCATTTTAGTGTATATTTTACGTTTATGCAGTGAATGTAGATGAGATGAGTTGCTTGAATTTTCTGTTTATTAGTTATAATGTGTAATAATAATAAAGTTGGATTTGTTGGCACGCTTTTATCATATTTTTTCAGCAGAGTGGTCTACTTTCCGTTTTAGGGTCATATTAGTTTGTTTATTTTTTATATTGTTTTGAGTATTAATATTATTAATAAATTTAATTTGTAATTAATGGCAGATCTACAATTATCTGAGGATGGGCACATGTCCATCTTAGAATTTGATTTTTTTAATTAATTATCTATTTTACAGATATTTCTATCATGATTTTTTATCTGAGTCAACCTCGTTAAAAAAATTATATTATTATTGTGTGTCAATCTCAAAAATATTTTTAAATCTATTACAATTTATACTGTTTATGCATGGCCATGACTTCTATGGTGTCATGTCAATGACGGAAAATTTATCTAAATACTTGAAATAAAATCTTGAGATCATATATATTTACGGAAACAATAGAATAAATACGATTTAATCTTTAATTTTATATGTCTAAAGAACAAATAAATAACAACTATCATGATAATAGAATTGATTGAACCATTGTATATATTAGTGACATCTTAAAATTTTTATAAGATTTTAAAATCTATATATTAGTATTTTTTTTAAAAAAAGAAGAAGCTTGAGTTTGAACAAAAGTAGGATTAGGTCTCTACTAGTGCATAGTTTTACCCTACAACTAGTGGTTGAGACGGCTAGCGGAGATCCTTCGACCACGCTGGGGAGGTCGGGGAGTCTGACGATGAATAACAAGCAAACAATATCGGGTGAAATCAACGACGTTGCAGTTGGCCCTAAAGGAGAATATGGAGGCAAACCCAAGAAACTATCAAAGTAGGGAAGGGATGAACGTCGAAGAAGATACCCAACTAACTTGAACCCCGAGCGTGATGGGTGATGCTGAGAATAAGAAATCATATGCTAATATGGTTTTGGGGATAACGACGTAAACATACAAGTGGGAGATGTTGTATCTGATAGGAGCATACCCTATCCCATAATACATTGTTTCAATCGAATCCATGAAACCATGACCACAACATGCAGAACACAGTGATTGTAAGACTACTGGAGAAGACAACTAGTTATCGATTTTTGTGGAATAAACTACAAATCTTGTGACAACTACAAGGAAAAATCCACTTAGCCAACCTTGATAATGAGTACTACTTAACGAAGCTAGAACTAGAGAGTGATTATGCAAAAATCTTGGTAGAGAGGCCTTGGATGGTGTTTGAAAGTTATCTAACGGTTCAACCATGGAGCCAAACCTTCTCGACTTTAGAAGGACATCCGTCTTAGGTAGTAGTATGGGTCCAACTCCCGGGACTGTCATACCGGTATAAAATGAAGTCTTTGTTTCGAATGATTTTCTCTGATATTAGTAGAGTTATAAAAGTTGACTATAACACAAATGCGGGAAACAAGGGAAATTTGCGTGTCTACCAATAGTTGTCGATCTTAACAAATCTTTACTCTTATGCATTGGTATCGGTGGATTTATAAAAAAACTAGAGTATGAAGGCCTCCGACAAATATGCTTTAAGTGTGGGATATACAGACACCTACACGAGATGTGCGGGAACAAAATCAAATGCCCAGAGAGGTGAACGCACCAAGAGCAACAAGCCAAGAATAAAATGGGATAAGTGAGATGAACACTGGAGAGGAACTATATGGTCCATGGATTATAACGACAAACCGACACCCTAGAGTGAGAAAGACCGGTGAGAATGGGAAAGAGGTCGAAAAAAAGGGGACATGCGACTATGAAGCGCTATGAGATACTTCACGACCATGAGAATGAGGAAATTAAGAGAAAATAAACATATGATAATAGGAAAATAAGAGAGAAGCCACCTATTGGCACAGAAAAGGAGAAATGAGATAAAGGAAAACGAATAATAGAAGAAGCTGAAGGAAACCAGGGACATAACTACCAATGAGGGAGACCTAAAAATAATGATCCAGTCAAGACTAAACTAGTAGGAAAACCAGACCACAAGAACCAAAACAAGAAAACAAAAGGGATGGCATGGAATACGAAAACATAATATCGAGTAGAGGCATTAGTTTCGGGCCAAGTACCCTAAGTCAAAATTCATGATACAATGATTCTTAAAATTTATTAAAGGGATTCAAAATAAAATTTTAAAAATTAAATCGAACTACTATAAATCAACATTAAAATTAAGAAATATATGTTCATTTGACTAATCAAAAGTTAAAATATAAAAGAAATAAGGCGTGTAATATTTAAAAAAGACTTCAAAAAAATATATATCTTGTTAGATTTCATTTGAGTTGAGCTCATTTCTCTTTGATAAAATAAAAAGTATCAATGATCACATCAGTAGTAAGTGTTTATGTAATTTTTTTAATATAAACTAATAAATAACCTCTTAAAAATTCATCTTACATTCGACTACGAAAATTTGTTTTCACAATTTTTATAGTCGAAAAGGCTCGCTCTGATGTTGTAGTAAATGTTGGAAGAGTCAATACTAAAAGTAGTAGCCTATCAACTAAAGGATACATTTTTGTTTTCTCTATAGTTACCAATCTTCTACACAAATCACTAAGAGTCGAGAGGTTTTTCAAATCTGATGAAGTGGAATATCTAGCACATAATGCTGCGGTTCATATTTCAATGTTTTTAACTATATTGCAAATATCTTCCATATTGGAAAACTTATAATTATCTCTAGGATCCAGTACTACACTCAAAATGAGAAGCTCTGACACTTGTTCATTAAATTTATTGTTCAACTCTTGCAATTGTTGACCTATGACTTATATAAAAATGTGATATTGCCATACTTTACTTTTGTCTTCCTTGTTGTCGAAGAGATTTAAGTACATTAAAATGGGGAGCATCCATGTCAGAAATTGTAATGTTATATCACTCACAAAATGATTTAACATCATGCAAAAGACTCTTCCAATCATCATTTCTTAAATTCTGAATCAACATCTTCATAGTGAAAACCGAGTGCATAGCATTTACAATGTCTTAAGATTTTTTTTGCAATGCATGACAAAATCCATCAATAACAGACATAATCTCTTTAATCACATGTAAAATAAATACGAATTCATATGATATTAATATTTTGACCGCATTCAAATCATTTTCATTGAGAAAAAATTTCTCATTCGATAGCTATGTTAATGACAATCGTGCAAGTAATACTATACATGATTTATAATGGAGCTCCATCTAGTATCTTCTGGCATTGTATGTTGGGAAATAAACAGAGTACGAGTAATTTCCCTATAACCAGATTAGTGAGAATGCGAAATAAAAGCGGAAAAATAATACTCGAAATTGATAACGAAGTTCAGGCAATTTTGCTTACGTCTCCGGACTGCTGCAGATCTTTTACTAAGAGAGAAAATTTACAGGTGTTTACAAAACACTCACTACTCACAAGAAAGCTCTCTAGTATTGGGAGAAAGAAAATGATTTTGGGATGGTTTTGAAACTAAATGAGCTAGGGTATTTATAGTTGAAGCTTAAGGACTTAATCTTATAAATACCCTAAAGTCTATGGATTAATTGTGATTATCCCATTATCAACAAACATCTACCAAACTTTGAAAAACTATTTTTCAAAGAAACATTTACCAAACTTTGAAAACCATTTTCAAAAAAATATTTACCAAACTTTGAAAATCATTTTTTCAAAGTTGGTTGCCAAACTTTGAACTTAACTTTTAACAATACTTTCAACAATCTCCCACTTGAAGACTGCTTTTAATCTGTCTTCACACCTCGATCAATGCAGTAGCATTTCTGGTCCTGTTATTCTAGCATGCCAACTGAAGTTGAACACAACTTCAGTTTGTCAGTGGTCACCGTCTTTGTCAACATGTCTGCCGGATTTTGAGCTCCACTAATCTTTTCAAGCTTCAAAATCCCATCTTCCAGAAGAGACCGGATAAAATGATATCTCAATTGTATGTGCTTTGTCCTGGAATGAAAAGACGGATTCTTTGCTATATGAATAGCACTTTGACTGTCGGAATACAAGACATTGTTTTCTTGTTTCTTGCCTAACTCTTCCAAGAAACTTTGGAGCCAAACCATCTCTTTGCTGGCTTCCGTAACAACGACATATTCTGCTTCAGTTGTGGAGAGAGCAACTACCTTCTGTAGTTGAGAAACCCAACTCACTGCAGTACCTCCTTGAGTGTAGACATACCCTGTAGTGCTCCTTCTGATGTCAACATTTCCAGCTAAGTCAGCATCTACATAGCCTGTCAGTATCGTATCT